TTGACCATACTTAAATTTTAAGAAGATACTATAAAGTGTCTTTCAAGTTATCAAAACAACATCATTAAGACACTAAAAAGGTGAACCGTACAGTGGGAAAAGAATTTGCAGAACATACAACTCCCAAAAGGCTAAATCATTAATACATAAGGACATCCAACAAACTGATAAAGACAAATAATCCAAAAGAAAAATAGAAAGAGATATGTAACAGAAACTTCATAAAAGAGGATATCCAAATGACCAATAAACATACCAGAAAAGTTGGCCAACCTCATTAGTTGGTAGAAAGATGCAAATTAAAACCATAATGGGATGGACACCCAAGTATATGGCCAACAAAATGGTGGCACATGTGCCCCAAGAGACATCTATTAAAAATGTGCACACAGCATTATTTGTAAGAGTCCATACTGAAACAGCCCAATGTCCATCAGGAATAGAATAAAGAAATTGTGGTATAGTCACAAAACTGAACAGTACACAGCAATGAAACCACAGCTATACGCAACAGCATAGGTGAATCTCACAAACATAATGTTGAGTCAAAGGACTCAAACACAAAGACATGCGTACCGTATGATTCCATTTACATAATGTGAAAAACAGGCCAAGTAATCTTTGGTGTTCCAAGTCAGGATAATGGTTACCTTTAAGAAGAATGGGGAAGACAGTGTTCGGGGCAGGGGTGTGTGTAAGAGAGACCTCTGAGGTGCTGTTAGTGTTCTAGTGTCACCTTCTGTGATGCTTACATGTATGCACTTTTTGCTTAATCAGTATGAGCTTCCCCTTTTGGAGGAAAGCACTCTGGCGTGTATATGCGATGCTTAGACAATGCAAGTTTTTGTTTTTATTTTTAAACATGAGTGCTTATTGAGAATCCCCAACTTATAACTGAGTTCTGATGTTGTGGCATCAGGCAAGAGGTGCAAGGGGCTCCCACAAAGGACCCAGAGCTCTCCCCTTTTACCTTTTCTCCCCATCTGCCAAATGTAGAGAAGAGATCATATAGTCTTTCTCTTTTATTTGTTAATATGGTAAATTGATATTTCCAAATACTAAACCAACATTACATCTGACTTCAACAAACCCCAGTTGGCTATGGTATATCATTCTTTTCATATAGTGTTGGATCAAATTTCTAAGTTAAGGATTTTTACATCTATGCTCACAAGGGTTATTTATGCTTAGTCTTCTTTTTTGTAATAATTTGTTTGGTTTCAGTGTTGATGTAATGTTGATCTCAAAATGAGTTAGGAAATGGGGGGCCTAGCTGACTCTGTCAGTGGAGCATGCAACTCTTGATCTCAGGGTCATGAGTTCAAGCCCCACATTGGAGAGTTGTAGAGCTTACTTAAAAATTTTAATTAAAAAATAAAAATAACACAAAAAAGAATGAGTTGGGAAATGCTTCTTTCACTTCTGTTTTATGAGTTTGGGTAGAATTGGTAATTTCTACATATGTTTGACAGATTGACCAGAGAAGCCATCTGGGCCATGTGGGAGATTTTTCAATTACAAACTGAATTTTTAAAAATAGATATAAAGTGATGCAGATTTTTCTATTTCTTTTCTTTTCCTTTTTTTCTATCTTTGTCAGTTCTGGAAATCTATGCCTTCACAGAAATTACCCACTTCATCTAAGCTTTCAGGTTTCTGTTTGTTGCTTTTTCTTCTGGCTCTGGGTCACATTTTCCTACTTCTTAACTGTCTGCTTTTCTAATAGTTTTCCATTGGTGCTATCCTTTAGGGATGTTACATTGTTGAGTGCTGGATTTTGTTGTCTTTTTTTTTTTTAAAGTTTTATTTACTTATTTTCGCCCATCCCTGCCTGAGAGGGCTACCTCAAGTTTTATTTACTTATTTTGAGAGAGAGAGAGAGAGCATGAGCAAGGGAGGGTAAGAAAGAGGAAGAGAGAGAATCCCAAGCAGGCTCCATTCTCAGTGTGGAGCCCCTATGCAGGGCTTGAACTCACGAACCTTGAGATCATGACCTGGCCCCAAATCAAGAGTCAGATGCTTAAACAACTGAGCCATGCAGGTGCTCCTGTTGTTTTCTTTAAAAAGTGTTGGAAATCTTTCCGGCAGGCCACTTGGCCACATGTGGATCCAGGACCCACTTGATACTTTCAGAGCTTTTCTGTGAGCTTTGTTGGGGAAAGTCTAGACCATCCTTTTCTCTAAGGCTAGCTTAGTCCTGTGAATAAAGTGTAAACTTTCAGGGGCCTCTACCCAGCACCTTCAACTAGGACTCTCTACCCTGTATGGCCACAACTCACTTTTCTCTCCATCCTGTATGAGCTCTGGGAGGTGCTGGGCTCACAGCTCCCCAGTCATTCTTTCACCGAGTTTCGCCCTTCTTAGTATCAGGCAAGACTCAAGGGGTTTCCATGCACATTTCTGGCTTTCCCTCCCTCTGTCCCCCTCACCTCCCTCCAATTAACTGCTCCACAATTGTCAGCTGCCTGGCACTCCTGAACTTCAATCTGTGTCTCCCCAGCCAGGCAGTACCACCTGCTCAGCTTGGGTTTCCCTTCCCTGCGTATTTCAGAAAGTGTCTCCAGAGAGAAGCGTGGAGCGACTGTAGGGTTCATCTCACTTGTCTCTCTTCTCTCGGGGACTCCCAGTGCCACTGGGACCCAAGGGTCTGCATTTTGCCTAATTGTTTGCAGCAGGAGAGAGCAAGTGCAGAAGAAGTCTTGTTTTCTTTTTTTACCGTATTTTGCCTCTCCAATCTCCTACATTCACTCTGTACCACGTAGACTTTGTCTTACACCATTTAGAGTCGGTCTGTTTGTAGTTTTAAGTAATATTATATTTTAAACCTTAGCCTTTGATAGTTTTTCAACGAACACTGTTTTAAGGTCCGCCCTTACTGCTGCAGTGATCTAATCTGTGGTTCTAACTGCTGTATAGCAGCTCACCAGCATACAACGTATAGCTCTTTATTTGTTAAGACATTTTATATGATAGGGATATCTATTTTTACTTTTTAATTATTTTCTTCATGAAAGTTTCATGCACTCTTTGTTAGGTTAACTCCTAGATAATTCAGTTTGTTGCTAATGTGAATGCTATTTTCTCTTACATTTTTCTAGTTGATTTCCGTGACCTAGGTCTCTGCATCTGCTCCCAATTGAGAGGTAACACAGAGATTTTGAGAAAAATCTGCAACCTCAGGCATTGGATGAGAAGCTAGAGGGCCAGACCATTATATTTTTCAACTCTCCAGTTTTTTCAATACATAGTTGGGGAGTTTAGAAGCATACTAATGGCTTGGAATGGCCCAAGGTAAGCAGAAGCTAGCCCCAGACAGTCACTGAGATAGCCTGGGCTGGGCTGGGCTGTGATGTACTCAGAATCCACATCAGGGCACCTGGGAAACATAATAATGTGGGGCTGGAGTGGAGAGGAGATGAAGCTACAGTGACTCCCACCTCTCCTCCTTCTGAGCCTCCTCTAGCCCTAGCCCTGTATGGAGGAAGGGATGCTGGGCTACTAGGCCCAAGCTGAAGAAAGGTCAGTTTAGCGGGGGACAAATACTTCTGGAATGATGGTTCATTTCTACTTAGGCTTAGGAAGGTAGTGAAAACTTTATTTTTTTAAATTATTTATTTATTTTGAGAGACACAGAGACAGTGCAAGTAGGGGAGGGGCAGAGAGAGAGGGAGACAGAGAATCCTAAGCAGGCTCCACGCTGTCAGAGCAAAGCCGACGTGGGGCTCAAACACATAAAACCGTGAGATCATGACCAGAGCCAAAACCAAAACTCGGATGCTTAATCAACTGAGCCACCCAGGTACCCTGATAGTAAAAACTTTAGGAGGTTTGAGCCTTTGCTAGACAAAGGGACTCAGGGGTGCCTGGGTAGCTCAGTTGGTTAAGCGTTCGACTTCGCCTCAGGTCATGATCTCACAGTTTGTTAGTTGGAGCTCCCCATCAGACAGCTCAGAACCTGGAACCTGCTTCGGATTCTGTGTCTCCTTCTCTCTGCCCCTCCCCTGCTCGTTCTCTCTCTCTCTCTCTCTCTCGTTCTCTCTCTCTCTCTCTCTCTCTCTCAAATAAGTAAACATTTTAAAAAGAAAAGAAAAGAAAAAAGGACCTAGTATGACTCACAATGACAAGTAACAAAGGCACTTCTTTAACTCAGCCATGGTATGATAAAATCTGTTTGCGTTTCTTTATCATGTAAGGGTTTATGTAATGATGTAAGCAGAAGATCACAGTCCTAACTGATCAGACATCCAATCAGGTAGCAAACATTTACCAAACACCTAGATCTGTCCATACTCTGCCAGGTACTGACAATGCAGAGATGGCCCAGATACATTTCTTGTTCTCGAGTAACTTACCCATAAACAAAGAAGTTTAGTATTCTGGGAACTATAGATTGGGAGTAGAACATGGCACAGGAAAAAATTGGACTAGGGGCTACAGAGTCCTGAAAGGGTTTTGAAAGAAGATTACATGTGAATTCATGATAAACAGGTGTTCCCCAGACAGACAAGGGGGAAAGAGCCTTCCAGGCCAAGGAGAAGGAGCATCAAGAGCTAAAACAAGCAGCCATTAAGTAGCTGGCAGAGTTCAGGAAACTGTTGGTATGTCCATATAACTGACATGTTCAACACTGGGTCCCAGACCTAAACACATCCTGGACCACACTGTGTCCTAAATGAATGAATGGATAGATAAATGCATGAAGCACTTAGTCGAAAAGTGCATGGGCTGACAAACTGTATTATCCCAGGTATCTAGAGTTGTCAAATTCATACAAAGAGAAAGTAAAACAGTAGTTGCCAGAGGCTAGGGGTAGGGGGACATGGGGAGTTGTTTAATGGCTGTAAAATAATTCTGGAAATCAGTGCTGCATAATGTGAATCCCTAAACTATTTAACACTAAACTATATCCTTAAAAATGCTTCCGATGGTAAATTTTATGTTATGTTTATCACAATTAAATGTTTTAACGAAATAAACTATAAAGCTCCCAAGTTACTTACATTAGGAAAGAGTTCTTCTTATCTCTATCATATGGGTGATAAGGACCAGAATAACTTGTCAGATTTGAAACTTCCTCTGTTTTGTGAGATAGACCTTGAGAGTTTCAATTCTAGGAGCTGGGGAAGGTGAATTGAACTTCGGAGTTCTTCGGGAGCAAGTGGGATAAGGAATAAGGTTCTGGGGGGAATGGGCGGGCTGGAGGGAGTCAGAAGGAGGGGAAGCTGTTGCCAGGAGACGGCGTGGGACGCCGTTGCCAGGACACGGCAGTCGCCCTGCACCCGCAAGCGATCCGAGAGCAGTGAGAAGTAGTTGAATGCTTGGAGCCCCGCCACAGCCATGGCCGGACACCAAAAGGAGAAGGTGAACCCAGATGAGGTCCATCAGAACCAGATCCTGCGGGAATTGTACCTCAAAGAGCTTAGAACCCAGAAACTCTACACAGAGTACCACGTGAATCCCCTCCGCAAGGGTGAGGGACGATTGGGCCGGAGGAAGGGGACAGGGGTGGGGGCCCCCAGGAAGGAGGGGCCCTGGGGGTGGGGGGCAGAGGTGCGCGTTGCAGCACAGTAGGAGAGCCTTCTCTGACCTCGACCCCCTTCCTAGATTTCAGGACTCTTGACTACTGGGGGTGACGGTTATCTCGCTCCACATCCCATCAAATACATTAATATATTAAAATGCAAACCCACCATGATTAAATAGTATTTTTGTGTTGCAAACCGGTGCAGCCACTCTGGAAAACAGTATGGAGGTTCCTCAAAAGGTTAAAAATAGAACTACCCTACCACCCAGCAATTGCACTACTAGGTATTTATCCAAAGGATACATGAAGGGGCACATGCACTTTGCTTGTTTATAGCAGCACTGTGGACAATAGACAAGGTATGGAAAGAGCCCAAATGTCCATCCACAGATGAGTGGACAGAGAAGATGTGATGTGTATGTGTATATATATATATATATATAATATATATATATATATATACATTATATATATATATAATGGAGTATTTACTCCGTGATCAAAAAGAATGAAATCTTGCCATTTGCAATAACATGGATGGAAGTAGAGGGTATTATGGTAAGCAAAATAAGGGGCTGGGGGTGGGAGGATGGGCTAAATGGGCAAGGGGCTTTAAGGAGGACACTTGTTGGGATGAGCATTAGGTGTTATATGTAGGGGATGAATCACTGGATTCTACTCCTGAAATCATTATTGCACTATATGCTAACTAACTTGGATATAAATTTAAAAAATAATAAATAATCACCAAAAATAAATAAATAAGTAAATACATAAACATTTTACAAATTAAAATAAAATTAACTTAAAAGTAGTATTTTTGTTAGCTTGAAAAGCTTTTTAAAATTTTGCTTTCAAAATAATTATATTTTGTAGGGTTTTATGTTTTGTTTTGCTCTGTGTTTTGGTTTGTTGTTAATAAGTTAGTTGTTTGTTTGTTTGTTTGTTTGTTTGTTTTCTCCAGGTTTCTAGTAAGGTCTTAGCCCTTCAGAAGGTTCAGGGGTGGCGGCCTCAGGGCCCATAGCACCCCCTGATAAAATGGCCCTGCACCTACTCTTCTCACTCGGCACATTCTTTGGGTGGTTACATCCGGTCCGGTAACATCAGCTTCCCATGAAAGTCTCTGGATCTCAAATGGAGACCCAGACCCATGAACCCAACCACCACCCAGCTCTCTTCTCTTCGACAACCCATGGGTACCTCAGACTTACCACTTGGAAAACTGGGGGCATCCCACCTGCTGCTATTCCAGAATATCTTATTTGAGCAAAAGTTACCACAACCGTTTTCTCTCCCATGTTAGTAGCCTACAAGTCAGCCTCAGTCTCTCTCTCCCTCCCAAACACATGCAAGTAGTCACATTTCTCTCACCTGACCCTTCTTGTGTTCTTACCTCAGAGAAAGACTGTGGTCCTGTGGAGACATCTCTACTTCTCCTCACTTCCTTCTACCCTCTAATTAGGGCCTGAGTCCACTTCCCCGGCCTCCCCCCTTCAAGTCTCCTCACTTCTGTCTGCATTGATCTGGCGGGCTCCTAACCACCCTCTTCCTTCAAGTCCTCCTCACTCCCTTCCTGTCCATCCTCCCCCTCCCCCCTCCCCTCCATCCTCCACACCATCCCCTAGCTGGAGCTAGGCTAAAAGCGAGTTCCATCCCACCATTCCCTCTGCAAAACCCTCAGTGGCCCCACAGCTTCTCAAATGAGGTTTAAACCGCTCAGTACAGAAGACCCCTGTGGATTTGGCTCTGCTGCCCATCCAGCCTCATTGGGACTTCCCTCCCCAGCCACACACTGCTCCTTTAATAAATATTTTAGCGCCCACTCTGCACCTGCCATATGCTCCCTTCTCTCCCACCATGTCTAAATAAAATGGATTTCCTAAATACATCACACCATTCCCCCACCTCATTACCTTCATAATCATTGTTTCTTCTTCCAGAATTTCTCCCCCAACTTCCGGGCCTAATTAACAGTAGTCCATGGCAGCTCAGCTATGCAGAGAAAAATGTAATGTCATTTTCTAAACAAAAATTGTATATAGTTAAGATGTACAATGTGATGTTTTGATGTATATATATAGAGTGAAACGATTACACCAGTCAAGCTAAATAGCATACCCATCTCCTCACAGTTACCCTGTGTGTGTTTGTGTACCCACACATGTGTGCAGAAAATGTAATGCCTTCATTTTGTTCATAACTCAATCTAGCTTTCCTCTGGAGCTTCCAACTACTCATTTCAGGAACACAAATTAACTGTCCAATTCTGTTTAAACTTGGTCCATTCCCACAATTTAAATAATCCCTTCAGGCAACACTCAGGCTTTCTAGACCTCCCGGCTCATGTCCCTTGGGCACGTGATTCAGATGATCCATTGTAACAGAGTGAAGAAATATTAGAATTTGTATTTGTGCTAGAACTTGTATTTATGTTTACTTTTAGGTGTAAAGAAAAAGTATAATGCTCATAGTACATAGAGACTGTATAAATATATGTGTATTAGGCACGTGCTCAAAAGGTTTTACTAGTAGGAGTCTGAGATAAAAAATCACTTGGGAGACCATTGGTTCCTTCTGGCCTCTGCTCATTTCTTACTGCTCTCCACCCAGCTCACTGCACTGAATTACTCTGGCCTTCTCAATGTTTCTCAACTGACCAAGCTCACCTGCAGATCCTTCCCACATGTCCTTACACAGCACATTCCCTCACTTTGTTTGAGACTCTGCTCTAATGTGTCTCCTCGGAGATCCCGCACCCCCATCCCCCACCCCACCATCAACTCTCTGCCCATGTCAAATGTTTTACTGTTCTACATCTCACTTATTTGAGCCCAAATATGTATTTGTTTATTGTCTGTCACCACAAATAGAAAGTCAGCACAGGAACCTTCTCTGTTTATAGCCCTGTCTCCAGTGCACCAGTAATTATGGGTTGAATGGATGTCTGTGGATTCTAAACCTCTGTTTTCACATAATCTTCTGTTATATCAGAATGTGTCCAACCTTGTCTGGCGGCCTGATATGTCTGCATCCCTGTAGACCACTGCTGTTTGAGAGAACCATCTGTAATGATGAAAATGTTCTATATCTATGCTGCCCAAAATGGTAGCCATTAGCCCCATGTGGCTACTGAGCACTTGAAATATGGCTAGTGTGTCTCTGGAATGTATTTCTAATTGGTATTTAATTTTAACTATTCAAATTCAAGTAGGTACATGTGGCTGGTGGCCACTATGCTGGACAGTGCCACTCCAGATGGTGAGGTCCTTGCGGGCATTATTCCTTGGTGCCCAGCATAAAACCTGACCTGTGGCCAACACTTGGAAAATGCTCAGTAGGTGTCTGGTCTAGGATGGGTCTTTGAAAGGGCAGGGCATGAATGTTTTAAAGTGAGCCTGTGTTGCTGTTTTTCTCTAGTTCACACAATCACCAGAAAGCCCATGTCTTGGCATGATAACCTGGAGGAACCTGAAGATGGTAAGTCCCAGGGTTTCTGAACACTACTGAGATAGAGCACAGATGAGCAGCTGGCTAGGGAGGCCTCTTAGGATAGTGGTACCTTGGGGCAACACTTTGATCATCTGAAAATTGGGCTCACACTCATGAAGCTCCTTCAAGACTGACATAGTCAACCATACAGTCGGTTCATTAACTGCCAAGCCAAGACAAATGTTCCTAATGGTCTTGACACTGCATTCATTCATTCACTCACCAAACATCTTTTCTGTTACAAGCAGAGACTCTGAAGTCATACTGAGTTCAAATCCTGATTCTGCCACTCATCACCTGTGACTTTGGGTGTATTTATTAACCTCTCAGATCCTTTCTCTCAGGGTTGTTGTGAGTTAACAGAGTAATGCAAGTACTTAGAACCGTATCTGGTACACAGTGATCAGGAAATGCTATTATTTTCATTATTACCATGTGATAGTCACTATGATGGGGCTGAGGAGTAGAGACCTCATACCATAGTGGAGGTCTGAGAGTAAAATTGGGATGGCAACAACATAGAAAACAGGTGCCCTAGTCCAACAGTGGAGTTCTAGGAAGTCTTCGAGGAGGAGGTAATGACATGGAATAGGTGGAGTAGGTCTCCTGACTGGAAGGACATTCTGAGTTATATGGAAAAGCACAGAAATGAGAGACCCCAGCATGTCCCAAGGCATGGGGGTAGTTTGGCATGGCTGCAGTATACAAGTGGACAGGGGCATGCTCAGGAATGATGGAAGAGAAGTACTTTGATACAAATCTTAATCTTTCTCTTCTCCTTCCCCTCTGTCTTCTTAGAGTAGAATTTGATGGAAGAAAGATGTAAGGTTTACGGAGGAGGTCAGGGTAGGAAGGTGGGGAGGTAGGATGGGTAGGTGGAGGGATGATCTCATAGCATAATGAGACAGACTAATAATAGAGCATCATCAGAGGAATTAAGGGTGCTATCTGTAGGAAAGAAGCCAGCCCAGCTAGAGGAAAGGACAGGAGTTGGGGACTTGCAGCAATAAGGAAAATAGCAGGTGGTGAGGGCCTGAAAGCTAGGCAGGAGATAACTGCTAACTGCTTAACATTCCTTCATTCTCAGTCATTTTGCTGAGGTAGATATTTGCCTCCCATCTTACAGATGAGCAAAGTGAGGCCCGGAGAAGTTAAACCACCAGTCAGGCCATAGTGGAAGGGCCAGGAATGTGTGACTACGAAGTCCACGTTCTTCCCGTTGTCAAACTGCCTCTCTCAAATTGAGACTTAGTAGGGTAGAAATTGAAAGGTGAAACCTTTTTAAGTCCTCCAGTGCGGAGTTACAAACACGTGTGGGGGTGGCGGCCATACATATCGCAGTATGAAGGATCTGACCTTCTTCCAAGCCTCCTCCTCCCTCCACCACAGCCACACTGGCCCAGCTTGCTCGTGCCTCAGGGCCTTTGTTCTTTCTTCCAGTAGTGTGGTTTTCCTCTGCCTCTCCCTCAGGGCTGGCTCCTGCTTGGCATCTAGAGAGACCTCCCCTCTCTATCCTGTCTAAAGTAGCCTCCCTTGCCTCTGCATGCTCCTTCGCCTCCCCCATTCTACACAGCTAGCATCACTATAACTATCGAGTTTATTTGTTCCCTTGTATATTGTGTCCCCTGTCCCCCCACCTAGACCACAAGCTCCAGGAAAGCGGGAACCATAACTGTCAAACTGCTCTACCTCTGGGGTCCAGAACAGTGCCTGGCACAGAGTTTGTGCTCAACAAATATTTGCTGAAAGTTGAGTTTTGCAAGGCCTTGGCAGGCCCCTGAGGCCACGTGTCGTGTCTCCAAGAAAGGATGTGGCCAGAGTAAAGAGCATGGGAGCTCTCAGTCCCAAAGCCTTCCTCCTTCATAACTCATGCTTCATCTCCCAGCCAGGTTTCTAAATCTTATTCACCATGCTGCCCAGTGCCCAAGGAACAAGTACCCAGAGACACAGACTGAAAGCCAAGAAATCGGTTGGGACTCAGAGCCCTTGGTAAGTGTGGTTCCTTTCCTTAGGAAGCCCAGAGGCAACAGAGGTGGTGGCTAAGAGGGTGGTATACAAAGCCAAACTGGCTGGGTTTCCACTCTGGCTACCACTTCCTAGCTGTGTGACCTTGGTTAGGTGACTAAGCTCTTTCATGACTCCGTTTCCTCACTGTAGAATGGAGACATTACAGATATCACCTCATAAGGTTGCTATGAAGATTAGAGGAGGTAGTATTTGTAAGGCGGCTTGAACAGTGCCTAACACATCGCAACTGCTGTGTAAGTGCTGACCAAAGGGGCTGGTGACTGCCTGAGTTTGCTATACCAGTTTTTAGTAGGGCAGTCTTGGGCAGGTCACGTGGCGTCATAGAGTTCCAACCTCTTTTCTGTAAAATGGGAATGCTAGTAACAACACACACCTCATTTGAGTGGAAGGGGACCGGGAGCTGTGAGGAGCCCAGGAAATGTAATCATCAGCACATCGCCACCCAAAACAAGATAGAGCTTCTATTACTGAGGACGAAATGCAGGGTTTTGAAGAGACAATTTGAAGAACTTCCTGCCACGTTTTGTCTTTGAACTTACTCGTATGTTCTGTCACTTAGAAAGTTTTAGTTTTTAAGTAGTCAAAAGTGCCAGTCTTTTTCCTCATGGTTTCTGGGGTTTGTGCCTTGCTTAGGAAAACACCTCCACTATCCACAGTTGCAGAATGACTAGCTTTCCTTTTAGATTTTCCCCCAGGTTGTTGCGTCTTTTTAACACTTGGCTTTTAGGCCATCTGTATATTTTGCACCTGATGAGAAGCTGGGGACACTGTTCCCCAGCCTTATGGAAGCTTCCTTCATTACATCAGAGGCACCCTTGCACACCCTGTATCCTTAGTTTACTGTCCCTGTAGCCTGCCTCCGGACCCCTCGGACACTTCTTGGGGAGTCCTACTCATCCTTCAGGACCACTCAGGAGTCACCTCTTTATAAAGTCCCATTAAGGGATGTACGGCTCCTACTCCCCACCAGGTAGAGTTGGGCACCTTCCCAGGGAATTTCTGTAGCACTGCCATGTCTCCTGCACCATTCAGCTCAATTCTGCGCATCGACATAACATGATGGCTCTGGAGTCAGCAGCTAGAGTTCAAATCCCAGGTCTACCACTTTCTAGCTGTGGAAACTGAACCTCTTAACTTCCATTTACCCACATTAAAATGGGGTTAATAATATGGACAGTTGAAGGCTTGTTGTGGGGATTAACTGAGGCAATGGATATAAACTGCTTAGGGCAGTTCCCAGCACATAGTAAGTGTTCATTAAACACAGACTGCTATGATGCAGGTTAGGAGGAATAGAAAGGAAAGCTCATCGTCCAACCAGAAACCAATGGGCTGCTTCTCCTGGCCCCTTGGCCCGATCCCAGGTGTCTTTCTCTACTGAGTAATTTTCCAGTGTGTATCCTTCCCAAGAACTGCCTACACCCTGTAGTTCTTGAATTTCTGCTGCTGGGCCTGGTCTTCTTGCCTATTCATACAGCTCTAGTCTGAGGCATGTGGCTCTACTAGGAGGCTGCTACAGGGAGATTGGAATAAATAGCTGAGTAATAATGAATGAATGAGTGAATGAATGAATGACTTAGTAAATAGCTGCTCATTCGCAACAGCTTTTCTTCAGATGTGGGGCATTGCTCTAGAGAGAAGAGACTAGGAGATAAGAAGTGGGTCCAGCAGGAGCCCCCACCTTCACAAGGGGGAGTGAGGGGACAGAGGAGGAAGATGGGTGGGGAACTAACTTACAGTGAATAAGGGCAAGGACAGAGGGCGTTGAAGGTAAACTATCCAACTTAGATAACTAGGCAACTTTTAAAAATATTACAAAGCACAAGTAATTTAACTTGCTAGCCTTCATTTTCTTAAAGAGAAAAGCCTGGCTCCCATGGGTACCAAGAATGCATGTGGAAATGCATCTTTTTAAAATTTCCTATTTACTTATTTATTTATTTTTAATTTACATCCAAGTTAGTTAGCATATAGTGCAATAATGATTTCAGGAGTAGATTCCAGTGATTCATCCCTTTACATACAACACTCAGTGTTCATCCCAACAAGAGTCTTCCTTAATGCCCCTCACCCATTTAGTCTATCCCCCCACCCACAGACCCTCCAGCAACCCTCAGTTTGTTCCCTGTATTAAGAGTCTCTTATGTTTTGTCCCCCTCCCTGTTTTTATATTATTTTTGGTTCTCTTCCCTTATGTTCATCTGTTTTGTATCTTAAATTGCACATATGAATGAAGTTATATAATATTTGTCTTTCTCTGACTGTCGTATTTCACTTACCACAATACATTCTAGTTCCATCCACGTTGTTGCAAATGGCAAGATTTCATTCTTTTTTATTGCCAAGTAATACTCCATTGTATATATATACCACGTCTTCTTTGTCCATTCATCTGTGGATGGACATTTGGGCTCTTTCCATACCTTGGCTATTGTCAATAGCACTGCTATAAATATTGGGGTGCATGTGCCTCTTCAAAACAGCACACCTGTATCCCTTAGATAAATACCTAGTAGTTCAATTGCTGGGTCATGGGATAGTTCTATTTTTAACCTTTTAAGGAAACTCCATACTGTTTTTCAGAGCGGCTGCACTAGTTTGCATTCCCACCAGCAGTGCAAAACCGCATCCTCGCCAACATCTGCTGTTGCCTGGATTATTAATGTTAGCCATTCTGACTGGTGTGAGGTGGTATCTCATTGTAGTTGTAATTTGTATTTCCCTGATGAGTGATGTTGAGCATTTTTTCATGTGTCTGTTAGCCATCTGGATGTCTTCTTTGGAGAAGAACCTATTCGTGTCTTTTGCCCATTTCTTCACTAGATGATTTGTTTTTTGGGTGTGGAGTTTAATAAGTTCTTTATAGATTTTGGATACTAACCCTTTATCTGATATGTCATTTACAAATATCTTCTCCCATTCTGTCGGTTGCCTTTTAGTTTTGCTGATTGTTTCCTTTGCTATGCAGAAGCTTTTAATCTTGATGAGGTCCCAATAGTTCATTTTTGCTCTTGATTCCCTTGCCTTTGGGAATGTGTCAAGTAAGAAACTGCTGTGGCTGAAGTCCAAGAAATTTTTGGCTGCTTTCTCCTGTAGGATTTTTATGGCTTGCCATCTTACTCTTAGATCTTTCATCCATTTTGAGTTTACTTTTGTGTATGGTGTAAGTGGTCCAGGTTCATTTTTCTACATGTTGCTGTCCAGTTTTCCCAGCACCAGTTGCTGAACAGATTGTCTTTATTCCATTGGATATTCTTTCCTGCTTTGCCAGATATTAGTTGCCCATATGTTTGTGGGTCCATTTCTGGATTCTCTATTCTGTTCCATTGATCTAAGTATCTGTTTTTGTGCCAGTACCACACTGTCTTGATGATTACAGCTTTGCAATAGATCTTGAAGTCCAGGATTGTGACTCCAGCTTTGGTTTCTTTTTCAGGAATTCTTTGGATATTCAGGGACTTTTCTTGTTCCACACAAATTTTAGGATTGTTTATGGCACAAAAACAGACACATAGACCAATGGAATAGAATGGAGAACTCAGAATTGGACCCACAAATGTATGGCCAACTAATCTTTGACAAAGTGGGAAAGAGTATCCAATGGAAAAAAGACAGCCTCTTTAACAGATGGTGCTGGGAGAACTGGATAGCAACATGCAGAGGAATCAAACTAGATCACTTTCTCACACAATACACAAAAATAAACTCAAAATGGATAAAGGACCTGAATGTGAGACAGGAGACCATCAAAACCCTAGAGGAGAAAGAAGGAAACAACCTCCTTGACCTCAACCACAGCAATTTCTCACTTGACACATCCCCAAAGGCAAGGGAATCAAGAGCAAAAATGAACTATTGGGACCTCATCAAGATAAAAAGCTTCTGCACAGCAAAGGAAACAATCAGCAAAACTAAAAGGCAACCAACAGAAGGGGAAAAGATAGTTGCAAATGACATAGATAAAGGGCTAATATCCAAATTCTATAAGGAACTCACCAAACTCCACACCCGAAAAACAAATAATCCAGTGAAGAAATGGGCAGAAGAAATGAACAGACACTTCACCAAAAAGGACATCCAGATGGCCAACAGACACATGAAACGATGCTCAGCGTCCCTCATCATCAGGGAAATACAAATCAAAACCACACTGAGGTACCACCTCACGCCAGTCAGAGTGGCTAAAATGAGCAAATCAGGAGACTCTAGATGCTGGCGAGGATGTGGAGAAACGGGCACCCTCCTACACTGTTGGTGGGAATGTAAACTGGTACAGTCCCTCTGGAAAACAGTGTGGAGGTTCCTCAAAAAATTAACAGTAGAACTCCCGTATGACCCAGCAATAGCACTCCTAGGAATTTACCCAAGGGATACAGGAGGCTGATGCATAGGGGCACATGTACCCCAATGTTCATAGCAGCAGTTTCAACAATAGCCAAATCATGGAAAGAGCCTAAATGTCCATCAATGGACGAATGGATCAAGAAGATGTGGTTTATCTATACAATGGAATACTACATGGCAATGAGAAAGAATGTTTTCTGGCCATTTGTAGCAACGTGGATGGAACTCGAGGGTGTTATGCTGAGCCAAATAAGTCAGGCAGAGAAAGACAGATACCATATGTTTTCACTTATAAGTGGATCAGGAAAAACTTAACAGAGGACCATGGGGGAGGAGAAGGGGAAATAGCTGGGGAGAGGGAGGGAGGCAAACCATGAGAGACTCTTGAATGCTGAGAACAAACTGAGGGCTGATTGGGGTGGGGGAGAGGGGAAGGAGGGTGATGGGCATGGAGGAGGGCACTTGTTGGGACTAGCACTGGGTGTTATATGGAAACCAACTTGACAATAAACTATGAAAGAAAAAAAGATAAATTTTATGATTGTTTTATCTCTGTGAAGAATGCTCATGTTATTTTGATAGGGATTGCATTGAATATGTAGCTCACTTTGGGCAGT